TGGGTTGCTCGGATTCCAGCTCTGGGAATCAATAAACTGGGCGTCCACTCAGAAACCCAACTAGAAAGGCAATAATTGTAGAGACGACAGATGGATACATTTATAACAAAGGGAAGAAACTAGCCTAAAAATGCTGAGAATACCCAAAATCAGAACCCCTCTGCCTCTACAGGGGATTACAGTTCCTCATCAGCAACGGAACAAGCCCTGATGGAAAAGGACTGTGTGCCATAACAGAAGTAGGCTTCAGAAGGTGGATGATAAGAAACTTCTGGGAGTTAAAAGAACTTGTTCTAACCCAGTGTAAAGAAACTAAGAACTTTGAAAAAAGGTTTGACAAAATGCTAACAAGAATAGACAATATAGAGAGGAATATAAATGAACTAACGGAGTTGAAAAACACAACACAAAAACTTAGCGAAATATGCACAAGTTTGAATAGCCGAATTGATCAAGCAGAAGAAAGGATATCAGAGGTTGAAGACCTACTTAATGAAATAAAACGAGAAGACAAGAATACAGAAAAAAGGATAAAAAGGAATGAGCAAAGTCTCCAAGAAATATGGGACTATGTGAAAAGACCTAATTTACGTTTGATAGGTGTACCTGAATACAACGAAGAGAATGAATCCAAGCTGGAAAATACTCTTCAGGATATTATTCAGGAAAACTTTCTGAATCTAGCAAAGCAGGACAATATTCGACCCCAGGTAATACAGAGAACACCACAAAGATATTCCTAAAGAAGAGCAGCCTCAAGGCACATAATCATTAGATTCACCAGGGTTGAAATGAAGGAGAAAATCCTAAGGGCAGCCAGAGAGAAAGGTCAGGTTACCCACAAAGGGAAGCCTATTAGACTTACAGCAGATCTCTCAGCAGAAACCCTACAAGCCAGAAGGGAGTGGGGGCCGATATTCAACATCCTTAAAGAGCAGAACTTTCAGCCCAGAATTTCATATCCTGCCAAACTAAGCTTCACAATTGAAGGAAAAATAAAATATTTTATGAACAAGCAAATACTCAGAGATTTTATTACCACCAGGCGGGCTTTACAAGAGCTTCTGAAAGAAGCAATATACATAGAAAGGAACAACCAGTATTAGCCTTTCTAAAAACATACCAAAAAGTAAAGAGCATCAACATAAAGAAGAATTTACATCAACGAATGGATAAAATAGCCAGTTAACATCAAATGGCAGTAATCCTAAATTTAAGTTGACATTCCCGTTCTCTTTCCCTCTTTTTCTTCCTCTCCTTCACTCCTTTTTTTTTCTTTCTTTCAAAAAAAAAAAAAAAAAATCAGCTGGGCATTGGTGGTGTGAGCTTGTAGTCCCAGCTACTCTGGTGACTGAGGCAGGAGAATCACTTGAACCTGGGAGGCGGAGCCTGCAATGAGTGGAGATCCTGCCACTGTACTGCAGCCTGGGCAACTGAGTGAAGAAAAAAAAAAAATTTAAGTCGACTAAATCCCCCAAACAAAAGGTACAGCCAAAACCTAACGGTATGCTACATCCAGACCCATTTCACATCCAAAGATACACAAAGACTTAAAACATAGGGTTGGAGAAAGATTTACCAACCAAGTGGAGAGCAAAAATAAATAAATAAATAAATAAAAAGCAGGAGTTGCAATTCTTGCATCTGATAAAATAGATTTCAAAGCAACAAAGATATAGTGGTAAAAGGATCAATGCAACAATAAGAGCTAATGATCCTAACACCCAGATACATAAGACTCATAAAGAGATTTAGACTCAACGAGACGGAAAATTAATAAGGATATCGAGGACTTGAACTCAGATCTGAAACAAGTAAACTCAATAAATATTTATAGAGCTCTCCATTTTAAATACACAAAATATACATTCTCCACCTTAAATACACAAAATATTGATCGGCCATTATTAATACCCATTTTTAGAATAAACCTACATTCCCATTCTCTCTCCCTCTTTTTCTTCCTCTCCTTCACTCCTTTTTTTCTTTCTTTCTTTCTTATAAAACAATTAAAAAATAAAAATAAAAACCTGCTCTTGCATAGCCAGCAGTAAAACAATCAAATTCAGGAAAATTTAACATTGGCAGAATGCTCTCTACTAGTGAGTAGTCCTGATTCTGTTTTTGCCAGTTGTCATAGTAATGCCCTTTTAAAGCATTCCTCTCTTGACTCCAGGTCCACAGGTTGCATTTAGCTGTTGTCCCTTTGGTGTCCTTTGATCTGGAAGAGTTCCTCAGTTTGTCTCTGTTGTTTATGACATTGACATTTCTGAAGAGTACAGGCCAATGCTTCTTCAAAATCAGATCAATATTATGCATTTTTGGCAGAAATACTAAGGATGTATTACTTTGCAGAGCATTATGTTAGTAGATAGATGATGTTGGTTTCTTCCATCATGAGGGATGGTAACTTTGATCATTTGGGGTAAGGTGATTATCTGCCAGATTCTCCCTTTCTAATTAATAAGTACTCTGACACTGTTAATTCTGTCCTCTAATACACTTCATTCAATCATTTTAGCATTCATTCATGATCCTTGCCTGAATCAGTGATAACTGCCTTGGTTGAAAATGGTGATTTTTGGCCAGGTGCAGTGGCTCATGCCTGTAATCCCAGCAGTTTGGAAGGCCAAGGCAGGCAGATTGCTTGAGGTCAGGAGTTTGAGACCAGCCTGGCCAAGATGGTGAAACCCCATCTCTACTAAAAATACAAAAATTAGTCAGGTGTGGTGACAAGTACCTGTAATGCCAACTGCTCAGGAAGCTGAGGCAGGAGAATCATTTAAACCCAGGAGACGGAGATTGCAGTGAGCTGAGATTCTGTCACTGTACTCCAGCCTGGGGTCAAAGAGAGAGACTTCATCTCAAAAAAAAAAAAAAAAAAAAGAAGAAAAGAAAAGAAAATGGTGATTTTCTAACTCATTCATTTATTTGCATCTACTATTTGGAATTCTACTATAAAGAATAGCTTTAGGCTGGGTACATTAATCCCAGCACTTTGGGAGGCTGAGACCAGAGGGTCACTTGACCCCAGGAGCTCAAGACCAGCCTGGGCAACATGGCAAGACCGTGTCTCTACAAAATATTTAAAAATTAGCTGGCCATGGCAGCACACACTTGTAGTCCCTGCTACTCAGGTGACTGAATGAGAGTGATGCCTTGAGCCCAGGAATTTGAGGCTGCAGTGAGCTATGATCACACCACTGCACTCCAGCCTGGGTGACACAGAGAGACCCTGTGATTAAAAAAAGAAGAAGAAGAATGGTTTCATTTTCTACCTTTTTAAAATCTGTCTGTCTTTGTGAGCATCAATATCAATAAGGACGTACAGGTTCTTATTAAACTGGTTATTGCTCATTACCCTCATTATTCATTTTGATGCTCATATTATCCCAACTTTCCCCAGGGGGTGCCTCTTCAGTCTCACTCATATGTTCATTTGGCATGGCCCCATTAGTCTGGATCATTCTTTAGCCCTTAGCATATCTATATCAATTCAGTTATAGATATTTATAGCCTTAGCATATCTTCATTCAACATACTACTCAAATGACAGATTTTATTCTTGCAGCAAATATTTTTCGAGATACTGGTATGTCACAGTACTGATCTTACTCATGAGCTAGTAAAAAGCCAGGCAATTAGCTGGTTGCAGTGGCTTATACCTGTAATCCCAGCACTTTGGGAGGCCAAAGCAGTGGATCACGAGGTCAGCAGTTCAAGACCAGCCTGTCCAAGATGGTGAAACTCCGTCTCTACTAAAAATTCAAAAATTAGCTGGGTGCAGTGGCAAGCATCTGTAATGCCAGCTACTTGGGAGGCTGAGGCAGGAGAATCGCTTGAACTCCGGGTGTGGAGATGGCGCACCACTGCATTCCAGCCTGGGCAACCCAGCAAGACTCCATCTAAAATAAATAAATAAATAAATAATCCAGGCAATTAAATTGACCCTTGCAATTTAATGCAGGGAGTTACAACAGCCATGAGTTACATGTGCCATGGGTGTGCAACGAAAAGCTCCCAATCCCACTGGGTGAACTGAGAGAGACTCCAGGGAGAGTGCATATCATCTCCTAGGCCCAAAAAATGAATAGAAGTAAATGTGTGGAGGTGGCATCATGTTCCAGGCTGTGGGAAGCACATGTCTCTTGAGGAACTGAAGGTATTTGTTAAGTCTAGGACAGTGTGGGTGTGCTGGGGGCATGGTATTGCTACAGACCACAGGGACGCAGCAGTGCGAGAGAAAAGGCTGGAGGGGCGGGCCAGGGCCTTGTAGCTCTGTTAAGGACCCTTCCCAGTGGCTGTCCCTAGAGGCAGTTGTTCTCAACACTGATGCACATTTGCACCCCTGGTGAGCCCCTGGGGGAGCTGTCAGAAACACCAATAACAGATCCCCTTTCCAAACCAAGTAAATTAGGATCTCTCCAGGCGCGGTGGCTCACGCCTGTAATCCCAGCACTTTGAGAGGCTGAGGCAGGCAGATGACCTGAGGTCAGGGGATCGAGACCAGCCTGACCAACATGAACAAATCCTATCTCTACTAAAAATACAAAATTAGCCAGACTTGGTGGTGCATGCCTATAATCCCAGCTACTTGAGAGGCTGAGGCAGGAGAATTGCTTGAACCTGGGAGGCGGAGATTGCGATGAACCAAGATTGCGCCATTGCACTCCAGCCTGGACAATAAAAGCAAAACTCCATCTCAAAAAAAAAAAAAAAAAAAAAAAATCAAGATCCTAGTGTGGCAGGGAACTCTAGGGTCTACACATTTAATTTCCCTATCTAGCTTCTAGAGAATTTATCACGAAGAATGGTATCTTGTGTCAGAGCTAAACCTTTAAAAACTAAAATTTAAAAAGACTTATTTTATCTTACAGGATTTTGAACTCAACAATGAACTAAAGATGAATGTCCTAAATTTGCTAGAAGAAGTTTTGCGAGACCCAGACCTTCTTCCCCAAGAAAGGAAAGCCACTGCGAATATCCTCAGGTGAAGGCAATTGAAGTGCCGACTGGCTCTTGGTTGATTTGGTGCCGTTGGTTGATTCGTACTATGTTCATAGAAAATAAGATTCTATCAAACCAGAAGGATAAGTCTTAGAATCCAGGGGACAGTTTGGGACTATGTTCTTGGCAGTAAAGTGTTATCTATCATCTTCTCTTTCCTGGGGGCAATTTGGTTCTGCTGTCTCAGGAAGACTTGGGACTGGGTGGTATAACTCGTGTGGAGTGCAACTGCTGTTATGTATGGAGGCAGACAGCAGTTTGCTATAGAACCAACAGTTAAAGAAAGGAAGCCTGGAGAAGCCTCTCCTGTGAGTCCAGCAGGCATCAAAGAGAGACGGCTTTTCCTCATGTGGGTTGTAATTGTTTATTGCAAGCTCATGTTTGTGAGCAGGGTGGTAGTGTCTGTGGGAGTCTCGTGCATGTAAATTGTGGATGTGCCATCACCGAGTAGTTATGAATCTTCTTTGGCCTCTTTCGCTGGTCCTTGATCAACTTTTCTACAACTTGTCCATTTAGGATTTCCACATCATGTAGGTGGTATAATTATGGGGGATTGTATAAGGTATGACCACACACTTCTAAGTCTTAAAGGCTTCCACTTTGGGATCCTGCTAGAGATTTATTTGTGTCCATAGTTGTTGTACCCAGCATCCAAGTGGGTAACAAGCTTTCTTATAGCTTCTCAAACTGGTGGGTGGATGTTTTCTGGTTCACTGTGTGTGGAAAGGGGCAGCACTGCTGGCTTTGTGCAGACATTTCAGTTACAGCTTCCCAGCTCACACATAACCATGTCCTTTGTCCCTGTTTGGGGATGGGAAGCCCAGCATCTCTCTGCCAGGGTCTGGCACTTCTTTACCACTCTGACTTCTAGTTCCCTCTTCATTTACAACCTCTAGCAATGACCTTCCTTTCCTAGATCTTGGCTACATTGTCTCCTTGTTAACATTATCCAGAAGACTTGTGTCATCCACGGGCAGTCTATTTTTATCTCAGTCCATTTTTTTTTTTTTAGGGACATAACCTTTTATTGTCATCCAGCACCTGTGACTGTTTTATGTCTCTCTAAAGGAGACAGGGAATTGGAGCATTGTGAGTTGTTGTTGTTGTTTTTTTTTTTTTGAGACGGAGTTTCGCTCCTGTTACCCAGGCTGGAGTGCAATGGCGCGATCTCGGCTCACTGCAACCTCCGCCTCCTGGGTTCAGGCAATTCTCCTGCCTCAGCCTCCTGAGTAGCTGGGATTACAGGCACACGCCACCATGCCCAGCTAATTTTTTTTGTATTTTTAGTAGAGACGGGGTTTCACCATGTTGACCAGGATGGTCTTGATCTCTTGACCTCGTGATCCACCCGCCTCGGCCTCCCAAAGTGCTGGGATTACAGGTTTGAGCCCGGCCTGTGGGTCGTTTTAAGGGAAAAGAGGAGTAGGTAGGCATATTCGGGTGCTGCTAAAACAACCAAGCTCATTCCTGACATGCTCCTTTCCACAGTCTGCTTTATTGTCCCCTTTAAAAATCTGGAACAGTATGTAGCAAAACAAATAAATTACTTTGCATTTCTAAAAGTCCTTCCCTGATGCAGCAATGCCAGGTGTTGCTTTGTGTTGTGTTAGCAACCCACTTGTAAGTCCTTCTTAACCCCCTTAGCTGAAGATCCCATAGCCAGACCTTGCGTTGATGTAGGAGCTTTTATGTAGAGAATTGTATCTCCATATATCTGTACCCCCTAAAAGATATTGAAGTCCCAACCTCCCATACCTCAAAATGTGACCTCATTTGGAAATGAGGCCATTGCCAAGGTCATCAGTTAAGATGAGGCAACTGGAGTAGGGTGGACCCCAATCCACTTTGATCGGCGTCCCTTATAAGAAGTCAACCGTGTGGCTCATGCCTGTAATCCTAGCACTTTGGGAGGCTGAGGCAGGTGGATCACCTAAGGACAAGAGTTTGAGACCAGCCTGGCCAACGTGGTGAAATCCAGCCAGGTGTGGTGGTGAGTGCTTGTAGTCCCAGCTACTTGGGAGACTGAGGCATGAGAATTGCCTGAAATCAAGAGGCGGAGGTTGCAATGAGCCGAGATGGCACCACTGTACTCCAGCCTGGGTGACAGAGCGAGACTGTTCAAAAAAAAGTAGTCAACCATGGAAGACAGACACAGAGACGATGGCATCTGTGGAAGCAGAGACTGAGTGGTATAGCTGCAAGCCAAAGAATGCCAAAGATAGCCAGCAAACCACCAGCAGCTAAACAGGAAGGGAGGGCTCCCCTCCAGGTTCGGAGGCAGCACAGCCCTGCTGACAGCTCCATTCCAGACCCCTCTCTGGAAGCGGGAGACAGCACATTTCTGTTGTTTTAAGCCACCCAGTGTGTGGGATTTTGCTAGGGCAGCTCTAGGAAACAATTAGGGGCTGTGTTCACATTTTCCAGTCAATGAAAACATCTAAAAAAGCCCGGGGATTTCATTCCTGTGCCTGTTTTCAGATTTTAAAATTGTAAGTACATATTGAAGTGAAGTCTGGTTTCAGTGGATGAGTGACTCTGTCGGCGAGTGATTACTGTTTCTGTTTTCTTCATGTAACTAGTTTATATGCTCTTTGCATTTAAAACACTAATATTTGGAGAAATCGAAACTAACGGGGAAGGGGAGGGACCACTGAGAAGCATCCCAGCAACCGACCACGACCAGTCTTCCCTGGACACCAGGAACCACACCGTCCAAACCTTCTTCACTCCTGCCAGCACCGACTGTCCCCCGAACTATGAGATGCTGAAGGAGGAACATGAGGTGGCTGCGCTGGGGGCGCCCCACAACCCTGCCCCCCTGACATCCACTGTGATCCACATCCGAAGCGAGACCTCCGTGCCCAACCACGTGGTCTGGTCCCTGTTCAACACCCTCTTCATGAACTCCTGCTGCCTGGGCTTCATAGCATTCGCCTACTCCGTGAAGTCTAGGGACAGGAAGATGGTTGGTGACCTGACCGGGGCCCAGGCCTACGCCTCCACCGCCAAGTGCCTGAACATCTGGGCCCTGATTTTGGGTCTCATCATGACCATTCTGCTGATCATCATCCCAATACTGATTCTGCAAGCCTATCAGTAGATCCAGAGGAATCATCTTGGCCAGGGGCTCTGCCTGTGACCTGTCTCCCATGTACTGCAGCTTCCATTCCTTGCCCTGCCCCAGCCGATCCTGTATCAGCCTTTTATCCTCACACGTCTATAGTCGTGTTCAATAAAGTGCACGTGTTCCTGGAAAAAAAAACACACTAATATTTAAAAACTACATTCTGAAAGTGTGCGCCCCTAGGGACGTTTGACTAAATAGCTTTCAGGGAAGTGAGGGTGTTCGGGCTGGGAAAAACTGTCAGGATCAGCCAATATGAGGGCATCTTGTTGCCAGTCCCCTCAAGATGCCCATGCCAGACTTGACCCATCAGTTCTGAGAGTTTTCTGTCTGCATCAAGAGGTGACCTCAGAAGTCAGTTAATGGGATGAATCCTGGCTGGGTGTGATGAATCCTAGCACTTTGGGAGGCTAAGGCAGGTGGATCACCTGCAGTTAGGAGTTTGAGACCAGCCTGACCAACATGGTGAAACCCTGTCTCTAGTAAAAATACAAAATTATCTGGGCATGGTGGCACATGCTTGTAATCCCAGCTACTCAGGAGGCTGAAGCAGGAGAATTGCTTGAACCTGGGAGACAGAGGTTACAGTGAGCCAAGATAGCGCCATTGCACACTCCAGCTTGGGTGACAAGACCAAAACTCTGTCTAAAAAAAAAAAAAGATGAATCCTTTTTGCCATCCCAGGTCTTGATTATTCATCAAGTTTCAGATGTGCCAACTCTTTTTGCTGAATAATGACCTGAAAGTTAGAAGTGTAAGACTGATAGGGAATAGACATTTTAGTAGGCAGTATAGCTTGAAAGTGCAACACTGAGCAGAGTCTGATTCTAGCTTTGGCAGGATGTCACAGGGCTAAATCTTGGCTCAGCCATTGACAGATGTCAAGTTCTCAACCATTCTGAACGTGTTTCCTCATTTATAAAGTGGGACTTGTAATCGCTACTTCATTAGGTTGTTGTGAAGAGTACATGATGTGATATGTGTAAGGAGGTTAACACAATGCCCGGAAAGTCATGAGCACTCATAGTAAAGTGAGTATTATTACTGTTAGAAGCACCGACAGTAGTTCCTGGAAAAAGCAGCTTCTGCCATGAAGGCCATATGGCCCAAGCGAAACCAGGCTGGGTCTGAGTCACACTCCACTTTCTCTAGGCTTCGTCACCTTTTCCACACAAAGAGAGCGTGGACCAATCCCAGGACAGACACTGGTTGCTCTTGGCTCTGTTTTGGACTCCCCTCATTCAAAGAGGGATTTTCCATTCATAAAACTTGGATAATCCCATTTCCTTTTATTTGGTGTTTCATGATAAATGCACAATTATGAAACTGTTGATACTGCTGTTAGATGTGGTAGTGGTGGAGTGGTGGTGGTGGGAAACCCGGGATCCTGGAATGTTCATCAAAGCCCAGGGATAGCCAGAAGACTAGAAGCAAATATTTCCTCTATAGGATCTGAACCAGAAGTGCAGAGGCCTCTACATCTGAAGGGAAAGAATTCTGAACATGCCCTCTAGAAAATGCAGGCTATGACTGTGAGAGAGAGAAACATATCACATATGGTAGTTAAGTGCAGCCCGACATTCGAAGATATACGTGTTCCTGACATATAAGACATATGGACATAAAACATGTTTTTATGCATATGTTGCATTAATGCAATAAAGCAAATGCTCTTTTTAGTGACACATCCCTGACTCACAGTCTCATAGGGGTCACTTAATGATACTGAATACACTTAATGGCCACATGTAGTTTGTTGCCCTGTTTGTAAATAAAAACCTCTACTCAAAACTTATATTTCTAAAATACCATCTCTCTTCCTCCAAAGTTGTCTAACCTGCTGTCTTCAAAATCTTTTCAGTGTACAGATTTTTTTAGACACCTAACATGCCACAAAATAAAAAGAAACAGTGATTAACTTCTTGGATGTTCACCTGTGATGGGCTCAGGTCATAGAAAAGTCATCCCCAAGCCCCACATAGCATCAACAAGAAGGCATAAAGTTTTAGGCAACTTAATGGAACCAGAGGCCATCTTGGGAAATGAGGGCAAGATCGTTGAGAAGAGGAACATTTAACGGGAACGAACTAACTTTTCTACCTTTGCTTTCCAAGGGAAATATATTACCCAGCTTCATAAAAAAGATCTTTCTCACTGGCACACATAATTATGGAGCCACAGGTCTCTCCCCAGAAACCTAGACTATGGTGGAAAAAAATGACGTGAACTTCCAGAAAAGTCACTCTTATCCCCTACGTGTCACCCTTTTATGTGATTTCATAGTCTTTGGAGAAAGACTTAGCTTTAACTTATTTTTTCATCTTAATCTGCCATTTAAGATAAGATGACTATTTTTTTCTAGAGATAGAGTCCCACTCTGTCACCCAGGCTGGAGTGCAGTGGCGCAATCTCGGCTCACTGCAACCTCCGATTCCCAGGTTCAAGCAATTCTCTTGTCTCAGTCTCCTGAGCAGCTGGGGTTACAGGTGCCTGCCACCCACACTGGGCTAATTTTTTTTTTTTTTTTAATTTTTAGTAGAGATGGAGTTTTGCCATGTTGGCCAGGCTGTTCTCGAACTCCTGACCTCAGGTGATCTGCTCACCTCGGCCTCCCAAAGTGCTGGGATTATAGGTGTGAGCCACCGCGCCCGGCAACACGACTACTTCTTTCTGTTCACAAATAATATGGCTAAGTGCTGATAAGAGGGCTACTAGTATAACCTAGAAGGCTCCGGCTCCACCTTCAGACAGCAGAGGGAAGGGAGTTGTGTTTCTTGACTGCGCTGTGTGTGGGACCCGTGAAGAGGTGCCTCCCTTGAGCCGGCTTAAGAGAAGCACAGAGTAGGGAAGGGCACAACTGGCCCAGAAAACCCTGGCAACTTAGTCAATGTCTTTGAGCTTTTGTTTCCTCCTCTGTAAAATGGAGATCACAAAGCCTCCATTATGCACTATATTGTATAACAGTCCCTTGGAAGGGATGTGTTAGGATCCAGGAGATAGTGCGTATCCAGTGCTTAGCACATGCCTGGCACAGAGCAGGCGTACAGTAAGCCATCTCTGTTGATACTGTAGTTTTGAGGGTTTGGTTGCTGTTTTAATGAACTCAGAACACAACAGAACATCACATCATCATTAGTTCTTTTAAAACAAGCTTCCTGCAGCAGACAGAGTACTTGGTTTGGGACTGTTCAGATCTTTTAATACTTTTAATATGTGCTTGTGCCTTTTGGAAAACGTAAAATGCTTGTCTCCAATGGCAAATTATGTAATTGGAGCCCTACTGCACTCTAATTTCCTGGACTCTGAACTTCCATTGGATATAAAATACCTTCTACTCTAAAACCAGTATCTAAGGTATTAACTTGTGTTTATTCATTTATTCATTCATTCATCATTTTTTTCAAAAAAGATATTTGTTGAGAGCTGAATAACATGTCTGAGATTCAGGGCCAAAAGTGTCTGAGGGAAGTCCGTCTGCAATGCAAGGGGGAAGAAGCTAAGCCCTTGTGCTTCTGGTCTGCGTGAGCTTGACAAGGGGGTGGCCCTGCATCTCCTGACTCTGACAGCAGGGAAGGCCCACAGTAGGGGAGAGAGGTTCGGGGAGGTGGGCACTCGGGCATAGGAGTACAACTGGCTGATAGCATTAGAGGCTGCTCCATTTTACATTATAGACAGTAACTCAGAGCACACCCAGCATGCTCACCCTCAGGTTCACTTTGATGGTGGTTGTTTCATTTACAACCATGTATGTAACAGGTTGGCTCTTGGTTCTAAGTCATCTATCCTGATGATTCTCTCATACCTTGAGCATGTTTTCTGTTTGGGGATTGCTCATCTCCAGCTCAGCAGCTTTTTGTGCTCCATGGTGTTTAGACGAAATCTTCAGACCTCCCATCCAGGGAAGACCAAACTGCATTTTCTAGTTTCCTTCTTAGGTTGTCTATCTTTTTTTTCATGGAGGATAATTTGAGGTCTTTTTCAGGGCCCTTTCACAAGATGATCAAGATGACATCCACCTAAAATTAGAGGATATAATTCAAATGGTAAGTCTGACCACATTTTTGTCTAGTACTACTATGTGCAAACTACCTCTCCAAGGCGAGCAATATGCTTGTAACTGATCAGGAATGTTGTAGTATTTGACCCTCTGTCCTATCTCTGAAGCTCTGTGAGATGAACCACATTTGGTGTGGGGTCTAGCAGTTGGTCTAAGATACTCCTGTTGGCTGTGATATTTTTTAGCTTTCTGCCATTTTTTACAGTTAGAATTTAGTGGTGAACTTCGTGCTTCCACACAGGCAGCTGCCTGCCTCGTTGACTTGCAGTGAGATGGCAGGCCCCTCACTCCCGTGTTTCATCTCCCTCCCTCATCTCTTGCAGACTGACTGCATGAAGGCCGAATGCTTTCAGTCCTTGTCGGCCATGGAGCTGGCTGAACAGATCACCCTCCTGGACCACATCATTTTCAGAAGCATTCCCTATGAGTGAGTGCCACCCCCATAGCAGCAGGGCTTGGCTGCATTAGCTGGCTTAGAAATTGACATTATTCCTAAGGCAGAGAGAGAGTGTGTGCACGCGCACACATACACACAGATGTAAGCCTTAAGATGATTTCGTACCACTTGAATGTCTTCTGATTTCAGTTTATGTTTGAAATATTGATGGGGGGGACTCTCAAGATGGCTATTCTGTAGGCACTTGGGCTTCTGTAATTCAAGGATAGGACAGTACAAAGAAATTCACGTTCTGTACCACAGAATGTGAAGTCTGGCTTTGCTCTTTCTCCTCTTCCATGGAGAGGCCATTCTGTACCACAGAATGTGAATTTCTTTGTACTGTCCTATCCTTGAATTACAGAAACCTCAGTACACAGTAGTGGTTCTCAAGCTTCAATGTACCTAAAATCATTTGGGAAGCTTGTTAAAAATGTACATTCTTGGCCGGCCCCCCACCCAGAATTTCTGATTCTAATAAGTTTGGTTGATGCAAGGAAACTGTTTTCAAGGAGAACCCCAGATAATTCTGGGTGGTTTCAGCCTGTGCTTTGGGACCCACTGATCTAGAGAGAATGCTCTAAATTCTGCTATGATTCTTTACCCACTTCCCTACATTAACAAGTATTGCTAAGCTGTGACCTTGGTCTCATCACAAAGGCTTTTGGTTTCTTTGTGTGTAGAGGAAGGGGAGGCTCTTTAAGTCCCTCTGAGTGTCATATTCAGTAGCTGCACAAACACGGCTTTTGTTTGGACAAATGGCAACTGTTAGTATATGTCATCTGTGAGCTAATAACTAAGCTGGAGGTAAAGGGAGAGTTGGGCAGAGACATGAATGAGCCACGTTGCATACAGAGTAGAGGATGTCCATGATGATGGAGGTTTGGACGTGGGCAGGGTGGATGGGTTGGGGGTCAGAGCTGCAGCTGTGTCAGAGAGGCGCCAGGGACAGGGCCAAAGAATGCCCCTGCAGACTCTTCTTTTGTGAATTTTATTTTCTTTCCCTCCCTGACTTCTAGCACTCATGGAGGTAGCCATGAAAAAAAAGAAAAAAGAAATGTGGACCATTGGCTATTTGAACACTTGAGTTAGGAGCCACAGTGTCTCTTCTCACCCACTTCCATCCACTGCCCCCTCACCTCCTCACCCAGCCTGTAGTACAGTGAGGATGGGGGGCCATGGCCTCCATGGAAGAGGAGAAAGAGCAAAGCCAGACTTTTGTAGTTTCCCTTGGTGTGGTCTCTTTCTGGGGACCCCCCACCTCTTGTCCCTGTCCCCCTAGTTCCTGTGTAAATATCTACCAATTGTTTCCATCCATGGAACTGGCACGCCTCTCTGTCCAGCACTCTGCTGGATGGGAGCAGGACCAGCAACAGTAAGAGACAAAGAACCCTGCCCAGGGACTCAGTCATCGTCTCATCTTAAGAAGGTGTCAGAGTAATTTTGAGTTATTTTAATGCCTATACAAAATAATTCCTGTATGCTCCATCTCACTTGCCCTGATTTCTTGCTATGTCTGGTGCCCTGCTCAGGAATGAAGTGAACGATCAGGGCTGCTGCCCTGAAGACAGCCCATCTAACCGGGCAGAGCTCCCGCCTGGCTGAACTACCCGGTCAGGTGAACGTGCAGTACAAGCCTAACAAGGAGCGCTTTTCAGCCCTTAATATGTGCACTCTCCTGAGAACAAAGCACAGTCCCTGCATCCTCCAGGAGAGTGGCAGGCAGGGCAGAACAGAGGGAGAAAATTCTGCTTCTGACTAATATTTTTGGTAGTGATGAAATTTTTGGACCCTCTGCTAAGGCTTAATATTTTTAAAAGCTAATCCTGGGAAAATATTCTTGATTTCTAAGTAGCGTTTAACCTCTTTATTTCCCTTGTGTTGGTTCTTGTTTTCCAACTCCAGAGAAGCTTTTATAGGATCCTAATAAAGACACAGTTCCAAACATTTGTAAGAGGCTGGAAACTGAAAAATCTTCCTTTTGGGCATTGAGAGGTAAACGGCTAGAGTCGAGGTCAAATTCCCCTGTGAGGTTGGCGGCAGCAGGTGTCGGGAAACAGTCTAGACAGTGTCAAATGGAACGTTTCTCATGTTCATGACAATTATCCAGGATCATAGCCACCATTTTAAAAAAAACTTAATTGGTTTTGTGTTTTGTTTTGAACTTTCAGGGAGTTTCTTGGGCAGGGGTGGATGAAGCTGGATAAAAACGAAAGAACGCCTTACATCATGAAAACCAGCCAACACTTTAATGACGTGAGTGACCATCGAAGGAGAGCCTTGTGGGGGGGGTCACAGGAAGACGGATATTGGGGTCTTAAGACGCACCTAAAATAAAGCAACTCTGCCACCCACTTTTTAAACAGAATTGTTGGGATATTGAAGACAAGCTTACATCTCTAACAGCTCACAGTAATGTAATCATGTCCAGTTAACTTCCTGACGTAAGAGAGGTTCACCTTTGATGGTGCCCAAGTCTGGGAAGTGCTCAGTAATGTACAGGTTGCTGTTCCTGTTTTTGTCAGGATCATCACTACTTCGTGGTCATAAATTGACTAACAGAATGGGCAGTACCTGTGTCACTGGCCCCTGGTGGTGTTGGTGACAGTCAGGCTGGGTGGGTGCAAGTCCTCATCATTACATTTGTTCGGCCTGAGCTGCATTCCCGGGTTGGAAGCGGTCTCTTGGGGCATAATCACATTGTTTCTGTGATTCTGTGCAGTGATGGCCAGCTGTCTTCCATCTTCCAGCTCTGCCTTTCCCCAACAGTCAGACTGGGAGATGCTTTTATACCTCCCAGCTCTTAATTCATGCTTTTCTCATAGTCTTAGTCCCATGGTAGAACAAGTATAGGTGTGTGAGTGTCTTCTGGCCTATCCAGGCAAAGGGAAGCTTCCCTTTCCAGTTTCACTAAACTATAGTAAATAAATAATAATGCTTTCTTTAAAACAACAACAAACTACCAGGAACCCCATAGGTAAATTAATAAGTCATCTAGAAACAAAATGCAAAAATGACAGTTTAGATTCCCAAGGCAGTGTTTTGTGTAGGCCTTCCCCAGAGCATGTGGACACTGAGTGAACGCTATCACACAATGAGCTTCAGTGCCTAAAGGACCAGGGGCATGGCCCATCATGTCCCTCCCTGAGAAACAGATTCCCTGCTGTGGGAAACAAACCTCTGTTACCTGTGGTAAATCAACACTCTGGATATAATGGACACTCCAAAGAGAGGTTCCATCCCAGGCTCCAGGACCACAATTACAGATGGAACCTGTCATTTGCACCCCAGACTCACCCAGCCTGCTTCTTCATTGTCCTCTCTGTTCTCAGTCTTGGGTAGTGGCCTCATCCCACACTCACTTACCCAGTCACAGGCTCTAGAAGTCATCTTCTTCCTTGCCTACCTCACCCTCACCGCTGCCAAACAGATTTGCAAACCCTAGATCTACATGCATCTCAGGCCCTTCCCCACCCTGCCTTCCCCACTGCTACCACCTTGATGTGGCCTTTTATCCTTTCTCTCCAGGAGCTCCTAACTCATCTCTCCCCTGCAACCTCACTGCCTTCCAATCTATCTGTTACGTCCAGGGTCAGGTTCCAGCCCATGCTAAGGTCGGAGGGGAGTGGGTGGATACCTGAAAGAACACGTGGGGTTGGGGGTGTGCATAGGTGGGTGAAAGATGGTTTTATTCAGCAGCAGCTCTCTCATCAACAGCTCTCCTAATGCTGTCTGCTCTGTCTCCACAGCTTGAGCCGTGGCCACCATGCACATATGCATGGATGGCTCTCCCTTGCCTTCAGGGTCAGCAGCTTAACTCTTTCTCTCTCTGGTCATGAGCTCCTGTACAGTGTCAGCAGGGCAGTTATGCCTTTTACAGACAGTAGTGGCTTAGAGCCAAGTGGCGGCCTTCCATGTTACGGTTACATGGTTGTGGTAACAACTGCATTTATACACCTGTGCTCTAAATTCAGGGTTACTCTGGCCTGGATGTCCGCCTTGGCCTATCCTTGACCAAAGCACATCCTTCATGCAGTGGCACAGGAATGACTTCTCTGAAAAGTCAATCGAATTATCTCCCTCCCTTTGACAAAAATCTGTCAGTAGCTTCTCCTTACCGTCAGGATATGGTCCCAACTGCTCAACCTGGCATACAAGAGCCCTGCCCATCTGTCACCCTTGTGTCTCCCAGTCCTTGTGCCCCTCAGATGGCTGCCACATCCTCCGTTACATCATCCCTCCCACCTCTGTCCCCTTGCTCTTATACTCGGATCCTTTAAGACTCAATGGAAGGCTGGATACTGTAGCTCACACCCGTAATCCCAGCACTTTGGTAGGCCGAGATGGGAGGATTGCTTTAGCCCAGCAGTTCAAGACCAGCCTGGGCAATATAGTGAGACCCTGTCTCTACAAATACAAAAAATTAGCCAGGTATGGTAATGCATACCTGTGGTCCCAGCTACTTGGGAGGCTGAGGTGGGAA